TTTATATGAGAGAGCAAAAAGCATCTATTATTTCTACTTTTAAACATTTAACAGGCTATGAAAAGGCATATTGCATAAATTCACACAAGCCCAAACAATTCTTGAGTAAAAAATTGTTGCCTGTTAATTTCATTATGTCATGTAGTTTATCTTTCTAAAATATTGACAAGAACTTGTGCCTTTTCTGCTCCGTTGTTTGCGTAATATTGAAAACTGTTTTTCCTTTTTTGGCTTGATAATGACCACTTGCACCTCAGATGTGCAGATGAACCAACTCTTGTGAATCGATACCAAAATAAACATATTATTCTAATAGTAATCTAAAATTCTATAATTTTTACAATTCAGTCAAAGATATTTTTTAATACTGTGTGCAGATAAGTTTGTTTAGGCTGTAAATGACACAGTGCCCAACTAAAAGTGGTTTAAACAAGTAGATGGATAATAGGTGGGGGAGTCCGCACATGAGCAGGTGAGTATGTCGGTAGTTTGGTCTTTGGAGAATTTGTTAATTGAGCATCTTAATCTCATTAGAATTCTGGGGTGCCTGCTCTGCACTTATTCAGTTTTCTCTTCAGAGTTATAGAATGGTTGCCATGATTCCAAAAAGGGTTTTACACAACAAAAATCTTTAAAAATGAAAAGACGTGGGAGAGTTTTTCTTAACATGTGTGTGCTTTTTTTGCTATTATTATACTAGAGAGTTTTTAATAAGAAGCCCCACCAGACTCTTCCCTTGTCTTTGTGGCTAAAATTAGATAACTGGCTCACTCCAAAAGCAATTACTAACAAAGGTTAGTAAAATTACTATGCTTGTTTTTGATCAATCATGATCTATCCTATATTGAAACAAAATTCCAGCTCTGTGGCAGGGAGGTAGAGGGTAATTAATGCTTGTTGACTAGGCAACTAACAGTACCTGCTATATTCCACCCTATGAAATTTTGTTCTTGAAGAAGTTGACAGGAGGTTGATATGCTATTTCAGCTATATTCTACAGTATGCGTTAACATTTTGAGTGGTAATAAATAGTGAAATATGTCTACCAATATATTATGTTGCAACAATTCAAAATTGATTACAGTGTTGTTGTTGTTTTAATATTACTACTTTCTGGGATAAAAACTTTTGGATAGTGCGATTTTTGTAACTCTTACGAGTAACCATAAACATTTATTTGCAGGAATAAACAGCTGGTTTAGCAGTATAACATAAATGTGTAAACCAGAAATGAATGGCCTTACCATAAAATGCATACATCAGAGTAAAAGAATACAATCTCTTCAACAAGCTGTACTGGGGAGAAAAGGTGTAAATGACTGAAAAATAAATAGTGAACACCTGTGCTGGATAAATTAACCAGCTGGCTGGTAATTTTTCATTTGACTCATCTAAAAGGGTGACTGTTACAAGGCAATAATAAGACACATACACTTTGAAGTGTTCTTTTGTTCCTACCATTAATTGATAAGCAATACTACATAATGTCAGAATTTGTACTCCCCCAAATTTTCAGGGTTATATATAATTTTTGGCAATTAGTAAAAAATGCATTATACAAAGCAGTATTCAGCAGTTGTAATTCAGTAAAATTATCTCAAAAATATTGTTATACTGTATTGTAAGTGGCCTTTGAAATTCAAATTAGCAGTATAAAAAACATTAAATTTCATTTGCGAAATCTATTTTATTAAAAAGCTTTATAAGAACTAATAATGTAGATTTTTTCCTTTATATGTTAAAATTGTAGTAGCATTAGAACTCAAATATTCCTTTGAGAACATATAATCCAGTGACATTCATTTTCAACTGGCAAATATGTCTTTATACTTTTCAAATATTTTAAATTAATAAAATTGAGTTATTTGAGTTATTTTATTCTGAAGTTTGCTTCAAAAGGTTAAATTATCTTTTTTAAGATTTTTTTCTTTTACCATAAATGAAGAACAGAATTTTGCTTACTTAGGAATTGAGTGAAGTTTAAGTTTTTGAATTTTCTTGTGTTTTTATAACTTCTAGTTAGGTATTAAATTCAGTTTTGGCAGAATTTCAAAAATATTGTGATTTTTTTTAATGGAAAGTAAGGACACTACTGTGTTTTTAATGCATATGTTTTACATAGTGCTAGAGATTTCACCAAATTATTATGTTGAGAACAGTAAAACTTAATAGCTTATGAATGTCAAACAAATTTACAAAGAATAATTTCTTTCCTTACACTTACACCTTTATTTAAGTATTTTTGACTTATATGTTCCAGATTGTCCAGCATTGGTTAGTACATCTCATTCACTCTGCAAAGTCCCCTTTCTCAGAATGCAGTGCAGAGCCACTGACTAGATCAGTTGCTGTGCTCGATTTTCACGGTGTCATCATCATGGTCTGTAATAAGAGAAGTTGCCATATTCTGTCTTATCTGTAAATTGTAATTAATTTATCCTGTCATTTCTCAGTTTAATCTTTAGGCATGGAACTTTTGCTGAAAGTTATTACTTTAAATTCTTCATGGAACACACATTGGTTTATTGGTTTTCAAAATAATGAAAGTGAATACAGAGCATGAACAATTTTGTAGAAAATATACAAATAGCATTGCCTAGTATCGCCCTTCATTTTGACTGTCACTAATGTCAATGGTGCTGTTGTGTGGTTATGTGGTAAAGGAGCTTTCAACATATGCTCTCAGAAAACCTAGGTACATATGTTTTGAGTTGCTTGTTAACTGTGGGAAGTTTAAAAATATATTTGATTAATATCATCTTAGAATAATCTTTTAGAGTTTATGAAATACTTTTAATATATGTAGCTCATTTGTCTTACAACAGCCGCATGAAAAATAAGGCAGATGGAATGATCTGCATTTTATAGATGGGGAATCTGAGAGATTTTGAGTTGCGTAATATTTGCAAAATAATGCATCTAGGACTAGAGCTTTCCTGACAATAGTTTCCTAGATCTGAAAAGTATCGTAACATTAATTATATCAATTCCTTTTTTCATTATATTTAATTAAAATTACTAGATTATAACAGTAAAAATATCATGGAATTTTATTTCCTGACATTTAAAATAAGCTATTTTATTCTTTCATTTTACCCTTTCTATTACAACGTTTATTGTGTTAAAAAGGAACTGATAAATGAATGCAAGGTAAACTTCATGGGTGTATTATGGGGACATGGAGTAATAATAGAATGATGAGTGTAGTTGGGTTAGGGACAACAACTTCAAAGTGAAATTTAAACGTTTTCTTAGTGTGGATAGATTGTTGAAGTACCTCATTGTTTGGGGATGGGGGAATTATGACATTATGTGGAGCGAAAAGAATAACCCAGAATAAACAAATTATATGGACCAATACATGGAGATTAGAGTTGATAAATTAAGAATTAGAGCTGTCATGTTGGAAAGTAGGAGAGAGGAGACCAGAAGATAGTAGATAAAGAAGGTGATTTGGTTTAGAGAAAGGAACAGGAAGATTTTATGTGGTAGGGTTTCGATATTTGAAAACATTTTTCCATTAGTATTTTATTTTTTTATTAAATTTGTTGGGGTGACATTGGTTAATAAGATTATATAGATTTCAAGTGTACATTTCTGTAATACATGATCTGTTTATTGCATTGTGTGCCTATCATCCACAGTCAAATCATCTTCTGTCACCATGTAATTGACTCCTTTTACCCATTTCTACCCCCACCCCCTTCCCTCTGGTAACCACCATACTGTTGTCTATGTCTGTGAGTTTCAGGTTTATATCCCACAAGTGAGTGAAATCATGTGGTTCTTAGTTTTTTCTGACTGTCTTATTTCGCTTAGCACAATATTCTCAAGGTCCATCCATGTTGTTGCAAATGGCAGTATTTCATCTTTTCTTATGGCTGAGTAGCATTCCATTGTATATATGTATCATATCTTCTTTATACAGTCCTCTATTGATGGACACTTCGATTGTTTCCTGTCTTAGTCACTGAATAATGCTGCAATGAACATAGGGGTGTGTATATTTACAAGTAAATGTTTGCCCATTTTTTTCATAGATACACAGAAAGGGAGTTACTGGGTCATATGGTAACTATTTTTTATTTTGTGGGGAAACTCCATACTGTTTTCCATAGTGGCTGTGCCAGTTTACATTCCCACCTCTCGTGAATAAGGGATCCTTTTTTTTTTTTTCCACAACATCTCCAACACTTCTTATTACTTGTTGGTAATAGCCATTTTAACGTGTGAGTTACTATTAGTTCTTGAGCACATTTCGATTTGTTTCAAAAATACAGTTCACCTGTCTGCTTTAATAGAGAAAAAAACTCATGTACAAGGACTACAGTGTGGTGATTGCCCAGAGGAGGCACATGGAGGAGGGTATCAGGAAGATAAATGGTGATGGACGGGGACTTGACTTGGGTGGTAAATACACAATACAGTGTACAGATGATGCATTATATTGTATACCTGAAACCTGTATAATTGTGTTAACCAGTGTCACCCCAATAAATTTAATAAAAAAGAAATTTAAAAAAAGGCAAAATAATTCTCAAAAATGTACTGTGACACAGTCTGCTAAAACCCTAAATATTTGTGATTTTCAAATCTTTTTTTAAAATATATTGTTATTGACTTCAGAGAGGAAGGGAGAGGGAAAGAGAGGTAGAAACATCAATGATGAGAGACTATCATTGATCAACTGCCTCCTGTCCACCCCTATTGGGGATTGAGCCAGCAACCCGGGCATGTGCCCTGACCAGGAATTGAACTGTGACCTCCTGGTTCATAGGTCGATGCTCAACCACTGAGTCACAAATCTTAATTATGTTTCACATTGTATTGAAACCTGAGCAGATGAATGTTTAATGTGTGGGTCACAGAAGGCAAAACATACAGTGAACTTGATAAGATTCAATGGGGTAAATAAGTAAAAATTGTCATTACAAGTTAAAATATAAAAATGCAACCAAGTACAATATGTGGTATTGATTGTTATTATAATTTCTCATTAGTCAGGATATGCATGAAGGTGTTGAAGAGGCTGGTGCACTGCAGAAAAATCACTCTCCAATGACATCTGCGAACTCCACAGAAGCTGCAAATTCTGCCCGCCTGCCTACAGAAGATGAGTCATTAAGCACTGTGAGCGGTGAAGTGCTCACAGAACAAACTCCAGGGAGTGCCCTAGAAGTAAATGATGTTGAAGTGACCAGGGTGAAAGAAAACGGTTGTGATAAAACTTGTATGCTGTCAACTTCAGAAGAGGGAACAAGTGAAAATGTGCCTATAGTAGAAGACATCGCAAAACAACCAAAGAAAAATAGGATTACTTACTCACAAATTGTTAAAGAAGGCAGGAAATTTAATATTGATTTGGTATCAAAGGTAAGTACTAATTTTGCCCATCTTGTCATAGAACAATACTAATTTTCAGTTGATTGAAAATAGTATTTTGGCCCATGAACACAATTTTTGTAGTTTGTTTTTTTTCTGTGAAGTGTAGAACATTTGTTTTCTAAAGATGTAATAGTCAGAGGATTTTTAATTCCATTAAATATCTTTACATATAGGTTAAAATCATTAAAAATGCTCAGTATTATATTGCAAGGATACTTTTGTACTAGAGCACAAGTCTATCCTAATATTCTCCTACTGCATGGATTTGAATTATATCAAGAGAAAAAGTCTAATGATCGTAATTCAGATTCATGTTATTTATAGTCAGTCTATTAAGTGAACTTTTTTTAGCCCATATATATAGTAATTGTTTTAACATCTATGTGTTAATGAACATTCTTAAAAAACCAATGCATTTTTGAAAATCATTTGTTCAGATGTGAGGGCTTCAGAGGATAGTTTAATAGAAGTGGGTCAGGGAGGCTGGAAAGAATGCTATTGTCTTTGGTTGTTTCCATCCTTAACTCTAATGTTATGTCAGTGTCTTAGTCTTAGGAGGGTACAGGGTTGCATTGTTTATAGAAAGCAAGGCTAATTCTGTGCAAAAGAATATAAAACCAATAAGATAAAGGATAATGGCCTTATATCTTTTTACTATCCATTGTTTCTTTCTATCACATAGCTCTCTGTGTCAGATTCTATCCTGGTCTGAATTAGCTACTACCTTGCTTCTACTTCATAATTCTGCACTATCTATTTTATTCTCCATGTTACCTATGCTATTGATTTGTGGGTGGAAGTTTGATCATAGCTCACTAATAGACCTCCTATTCTCATGAGCAGCAACTAGCTTTAAAAAACTAAAAAAAACAAAACAAAACTGGATGTCAAGTAATGAATTTGTTCTGAAATTTTTCATTTTGAATTAGTTACTTGGAATTTGGAATGCCTTACTTAAGTAAATAATGAAATAAATAATGGTTAAGAATCAAGGCTAGTTCATAAAAGTCTCTATAACCCTTAGGGTAACTGAAATACAGTACAAATCTTGCAAAGGAAAATGGTACAAGACATTGCTTTTTCATTTTTGGAATTAGGAAACTGTTTAATTGTATAAGAAAGTGAAGGATGGTTATAATGGAGAGAGTGATAGTTTATTAGATGCCGAGACATTTCAGGAGACTCTGAAGAAGATTTCTGGGTATTTTTATGAGTTTGAATGGTTCATAATAATGGTTCTCTTAGGAAAAATTAAAAACAAACATATTGAGAGGGGTCAAGGCAATTGTATTTTGTTCTGCATAGTTGTCATGGGTTCATACATTTAAATAGCCAATAATAATTTACTGTATTCATTCTACAAAAACAGGACTAGCTAAAGAATGTATAACCATAGCAATACAAGAGACATTATCATTTTTAATGTTAGTCATTTAGAGAACATTTACTGAGTACCCACTGGTTGGGAAGCATTGTATTCCATAATATTGGGGGCATTCAGTTACTTATTGGAAATTTTATCTATTCTATTTTTGTTGTTGTTATTCTTTTTTTTTATCTTTAAATTCTTTATTAGTTAAGGAATTACAAATGTGTCTTCATCCCCCCCGCCCCCATTGCAGTTATTACATCTAAGATTGGAATGATTGACAAATACTTTTAGAAGCCCTACTTTTTACTAAGTTCAGTTTGATATCTCCAAACTACTTGACATTTGTACATACATTCTATCTCATGTAGTGCTTTACAGTTTACAAAACACGTCCATGTATGCAGCCTATTAAAAAGTGATCTTATAGCTCAGGGTAGTTTAGTTAAATAAAATACTCCATAGTATTATACTGCTTAGACTAATAAACAAGATAAACAAAGATGAAGTTCTTACAATTAAAACTCATTTGTAAGAATGTCTGTACCCTTATGGAAGCAGCAGTCCATGGGAAGCAAAAATCATTAATTGTTAAATCTAGTGCCCATTATTTTAATCATATTGAAATATACGTTAGCCTCTCACCACTGTGACATTGCTGTGGTAGAGCATTAGAGAGTGGCGAAAAAAAGGCTTAAATTTAAATATGGTAACATTCATTATATATAAGCTTCAGACAAAAGTTTAGAATAGTTTTAATTTAAATGTATTTTAATTCTTGAGTGATATCTTTATCTTTTTTTAAAATTAAATTTATTGGGGTGACATTGGTCAACATGAACATAGAGGTTTCAGGTGTGGTTTTCTATGTTACAATATCTGTATATTATACCATGTGCTCACTACCCAAAGTCAAATCTTCTTCTGTAACCATATATTAGGACTCCTTCCCCTCTTTCCCCCCATCCCCTTTCCTCTGGCAACCACCATACTGCTTGTGTTCACGAGTTTAAGTTTTAGATCCCACATATGAGTGAAGTCATATGGTTCTTAGCTTTTTATGACTGACTAGGGGCCCAGTGCATGAATTCGTGCAGCTTGTAAGGCACTGTGGGCCGCAAGGCTGCAGTGGGCACAGGGGCTGATCTTGGCCCCTCCCACTGTGACCCCTGTCCCTTGTCTGCCGGTAGCCCTGCTCCCGCCGCCGCCACTCCCACACACTGATGGTGCCGCCCCCGCTTGCATCCACTGATGGTGTGGAGCGATTGGGGCTGGCGCCAGCAGTGGGTGCAAGCGGGGCCAGTGCCATTAGCGGGTGTGAGCGGCAGCTGCTGCCCTGATCGCCTCTCAGGAGCAGGGGAGGTGGAAAAGCCCTGAGGAGTGATCAGGGCCAGCACCAGGCAATGGCAGCAGTGCGAGAGGCAGCTCCTGCACTGGCAGCTGGTGCGGGTAGGGCCAGTGCCAGCAGCAGGTGCGAGCACCAGGCAGGACCGTGGTGCATGGGAGCAAAGAATTTTCAGTAACCACTAGAGGGTCACTCCAATGACAGCTACCAGCGCCCCACCTTGGTCTGGTGCACTGCTCACCTGCTCCACCATCCTGTCGCGGCCGACACCTGCTATGTTCCGTGCGTGCCCCCTGGTGGTCAGCACACGTCATAGTGACCAGTTCGGTTGTTCTGCTGTTCGGTCTATTTGCATATTAGCCTTTTATTATATAGGATTTACTTCAGTTAGCATAATGTTCTCAAGGTGCATAATGTTCTCAAGGGGCAGGTTGTTGCAAATGGTGCTATTTCATCCTTTCTTATGGCTGAGTAGTATTGCATTATGTATATGTACCACATCTTTTTTATCCAGTCCTATCGCAGGACACTTCGGTTGTTTCCATGTCTTGGCTGTAGTGAATAATGCTGCAATGAACATAGGGGTACATATGTCTTTGTAAATACATGATTTCGAGTTTTTTGTGTATATACCCAGGAGAGGAATTGCTGGGTCCTATGGTAACACTATTGCCAATTTTTTGAGGAATCGCCAGATTGCTTTCCATAGTGGTTGTACCAGTCTACATTCCCACCAGCAGTGAATGATGGTTCCCTTTTTTCCACAATCTGTCCAACACTTGTTATTGCTTTTTTTGTTGATAATGGCCACTCTAACAGGTGTGAGATGGTATCTCATTGTAGTTTTGATTTGCATTTCCCTAATAGCCAGTTAGGTTGAACATCTTTTCATATATCTATTGACTGCTTATATGGTACGTCTAGTTGGGAAAGGTGTATTTTCAGGTCCTCTGCCCACTTTTTGATTGGGTTGTTTGCTTGGTGTTGATTTTTATAAGTTCTTTATATATTTTGGAGACTAAACCTTTGTCAGAGCCACTGTTTGCAAATATCATCTCCTACCTGGTTGGCTGCCTCTTTGTTTTGTTGTCAGTTTCTTTTGCTATGCAGAAGCTTTTTAGTTTGATATCATCCCATTCATTTACTTTTGCCTTTACTTCCCTTGCCTTTGGGGTCAAGTTCATAAAATGTTGTCTACAACCAAGGTCCATAGTTTGGTACCTATATTTTCTTCCATGTAACTTACTGTTTCGGGTCTTACATTTAGGTCTTTGATTCATTTTGAATTACTGTTTGTACATGGGGACAAACTGTTATCCAGTTTCATTCTTTTGCATATGGATTTCCAGTTTTCCCAGAACCACTTATTGAAGAGACTATATTTACTACATTGTGTGTTTTTGGCTCCTTTGTCGAAAATTATCTGCTCATATACATGTGGTTTTATAGCTAGGCTCTCTATTCTGTTCCATTGATCTGTGTGTCTGTTTCTCTGCCAATACCTTGCTGTTTTGATTATCATAGCTCTGTAGTATAATTTGAAATCAGGTAGTGTGATACCTCCAGCTTCATTCTTTTTTCTCAGGATTGCTTTGGCTATTCGGGTTCTATTGTGGCTCCATACAAAACGGATGATTTCTTGTTCTGATTCTTTAAAAAATGACATTGGGATTTTGATGGAGATTGCATTAAGTCTGTATATTGCTTTGGGTAATATGGACATTGTAACTATGTTGATTCTTCCAATCCATGAACACGGAATATTTTTCCATTTTGTTGTGCTTTTTTAATCTCTTTTAATAATGCTTTGTAATTTTCAGTATATAGGTCTTTCATGTTCTTTGTTACGTTTATTTCTAGTTATTTTATTCTTTTGGTTGCAATTGCAAAATGAATTGTTCTTTTCATTTCTTTTTCTGAAGTTTTGTTGTTAGTATACAGGAAGGTGGTGGATTTTTTGCACATTAGTTTTCTATCCTGCAACTTGACTGTATTTGTTTATTGTTCCTAATAGTTTTTTTGGTGGAGTGTTTAGGGTTTTCTGTATACAGAAGCATGTCTTCCACAAAAAGTGACAGTTTGATTTCTTTCTTCCCTTTTGGGTGCCTCTTATTTCTTTCTCTTGCCTTATTGCTCTGATTAGGATTTAAACCACTATGCTTAATAAGAGTGGTAAAAGTGGACATCCTTGTCTTGTTCTAGATTGTAGAGAAAAAGCTTTCAGTTTTTTATCCTTGAGTATGATATTAGCTGAGGGTTTATCATCGATGGCCTTTATTATGTTGAGGTACTTTTCCTTCTATTCCTATGTTATTGAGTGTTTGAATCATAAATGGATGTTGTATCTTACCAAATGCCTTTTCTGCATCTATTAATAGGATCATACGATTTTTCTTTTTTCTTTTGTTAATATGGTGTATTATGTTGAGTGATTTGCTTACATTGAACCATCCTTGTGCCCCTGGAATGAACCCTACTTGATCGTGATCTATTATTTTTTGGATGTACTGTGGTATTTGATTTGCTAGTATTTTGTTTAGGTTTTTTACATCTGTATTCATCAGATATATTGGTCTCTAATTTTCTTTCTTTGTGTTATCTTTGCCAGGTTTTGGTATCAGGGTTATATTGGCCTCATAGAATGTGTTAGGAAATAATTGCCTCTTCTTCAATTTTTTTGGAACAGTTTAAGAGGATAAGTTTTAAATCTTTTTTGAATGTTTGGTAGAATTCACTGGTGAAGCCATCTGTTCCTGGACTTTTCTTTTTTGGGAGATTTTTGGTGGGTGTTTCAATTTCCTCACGACTGATCAGTCTATGTAGATTTTCCAGTTATTCATGTTTTAGACTAGGAAGGTTATATAATTCTAGGAACTTATCCATTTCTTCTAGGTTATTTGATTTGGTGGCATAGTCTTTTATAATGTTCTACTATGATCCTTATTTCTGTGATGTCTGTGGTGACTTCTCTATCATTTCTGATTTTGTTTATATAGGTCTTTTCCATTTTTTCCTTAGTGAATCTAGCCAGGGGTTTGTCAATTTTAACTTTTTCAAAGAACCAGCTCTTTGTTTTATTAATTTTTTTGTATAGTCTTTTTGTTCTCTATTTCATTCAATTCTGATTTTATTTTTATTATTTCCTTTCTTCTGCTGACTTTGGGTTCTCTAGTTCTTTAAGATGTGATGTTAGGTTGTTTACTTGGGATTTCTCTTGTTCCTTGAGGTAGGCCTCTAATGATATAAACTTCCCTCTTATTACTGCTTTCACTGCATCCTAGAAGTTTTGATCTGTTGTATTGTCATTCTCATTTGTCTCTCCATATCCTGTTATCTCATCTTTTATTTCTTCTTTGACCCAGTCATTTTTTAGTAATATGTTGTTTAATTTCCATGTATTTGTGGGTTTCTTTACTTTCTTTCTGCAGTTGATTTCTAATTTCAAGCAATCATAGTTGGAGACTATGCTTGATATAACGTCAATGTTCTTGAATTTGTTGATGTTAATTTTGTGACCCCACATATGGTCTATCCTTGAGAATGTTCCATGTACACTGGGAAAAAATGTATAATCTGATATTGTGGGATAAATGGTTCTCTACATGTCAATTATGTCCATTCGGTGCAGGGTTTACTTTAAGGCCGATATTTCTTATTGATTTTCTGTTTGGTTGGTCTGTCTAGAGCTTGGCCTGTCTAGAGCTATCAATGGAGTATTAAGGTCCCCAATTATGATTATGTTTTCATCTGTTTCTCACTTTGATTCTGTGAGTAGTTGTTTTATATATTTTGGTGCTCTCTAGCTGGTGCATAAATATTAAGTGTTATGTTGGGAAGAATGAGAATCCTGGAGGCCTCCTAGCAACGCGAGGGGGTCAAGTGACACAACCAGCTGACTCCGATAGAAGAAGACGCTGTGACTGGGTCTGTGGCAACCACGACTGCCCTGCCAGGAACTGAAGCTGAACAGTCATCGTCAGAATGTCGGGCAAAGACCAAATTGAAATCTTTCCCTTGCGAATGGCACAGACCATCATGAAGGCTCGATTAAAAGGAGCACAGACAGGTCGAAACCTCCTGAAGAAAAAATCTGATGCCCTAACTCTTCGATTTCGACAGATCCTAAAGAAGATCATAGAGACTAAAATGTTGATGGGTGAAGTGATGAGAGAAGCTGCCTTTTCACTTGCTGAGGCCAAGTTCACAGCAGGGGACTTCAGCACCACAGTTATCCAAAATGTGAATAACGCCCAAGTGAAGATTCGAGCAAAGAAACATAATGTAGCAGGTGTTACCTTGCCAATATTTGAACATTACCATGAAGGAACTGACAGTTACAAACTGACTGGTTTAGCCAGAGGTGGGGAACAACTGGCTAAATTAAAGAGGAACTATGCCAAAGCAGTGGAACTACTGGTGGAACTTGCCTCACTGCAGACTTCCTTTGTTACTTTGGATGAAGCTATTAAGATAACCAACAGGTGGGTAAATGCCATCGAACATGTCATCATTCCCAGGATTGAACGTACCCTTGCTTATATCATCGCAGAGCTGGATGAGAGAGAGCGAGAAGAGTTCTATAGGTTAAAGAAAATACAGGAGAAGAAAAAGATTCTCAAAGAAAAAACTGAGGAGGGACTTGGAGAAACAGGGTAGCTGGAGAGGTGACCGGAGCCTGCCAATTTTCTGGCTGAAGAGAAGGATGAGGGTCTTCTGTAAGAATAATCTTGCCTGCTCTGGTTCTTTCAGAAGTTCTGACGTGACACCATTTTAGTTCAGTGTGTAGGTTTGGTTCGTGTGGCTGTTTATTATTTGGTCTAATTTCACTGGTTGTAAAACTTCCCTGGATGTCCATTTATGGGATTACGTTTGCAGAATCCTAATTTACCAACCATTGATCACAGATGAGATTTGGAGAACCTGCCTAGGAACTTGTAGAATTTATTCTGCAGAAGTGTCACCCTACCCCAGTTATAAATGGTTACAAGTGATTGGCTTACCAAGCATATTAGGAAATTCCCCTTAGGAGCCAGCAGTGGTCTCAGGCCAATACAAGAAGGCCAGCCACTGTACAAGCATCCTCCATTCCTACCCACTCACACCCCCTGGCGCTGTTATCGGAGGGAGCTGCAGCCATGCTGTGTTTCTGTGGTACTTCTCCAGCTTTAGGAAAGCCTTCCCTTAATTTACCTTGCATGGCAGGTCTCTGTTTGTTCTCTCTGTCATGGAACAGTTTTGCCAATTTGCATGTGACTGTGGTATAAACAGTAAAATGATTTTTTAAAAAAAGTGTTATGTTGATGTAATATTCTTTTTATCATTATAAAGTGTCCATCTTTGTCTCTTCTTATCTTGAAATCTATTTTGTCAGGTATAAGTATGGCTGCACTTGCTTTTCTGCGGATGTTATTTGTTTGGAGAATCATTGTCCACCCTTTTACTTTGAATCTTCCTTTGTCTTTGCAGCTCAGATGTGTCTTTTGTAGGCAACATATGTTTGGGTTTTGTTTTTTGAGCCACTCTGCTAGTCTCTGCCTCTTTATTGGGGCATTCAGACCATTTACATTTAGGGTAATTATTGATGTATGAGGATTTTCTATAGCCATTTTATTTATTTATTTTTTCTGGTAGCTCTCTGTCTCCATTGGTCCTTTTCCTTTGTGATCTGTTTGTTGTTTTTGTTTGATGGTATTGCATACTTCTTTCCGCTGTTTCTTCTTTTTTTAAACTATGTGTCCTGTTTTGTCAAAATAAACTTGCATATATACCCTAGCTTTTTTTTTTCTTTTGAGTGCATCTGATCTTCATTCTCTTTTGCTAGTTCACCTTTTATTTTTTTGTTGTCACAAATTATCCCTCTTTATGCTTTAAGTTTTTGGTGATCTTACTGTTGTGACCTTAATGTTCTTTGTTTCGGGTAGAATTACTCCCTTAAGTATTTCCTGCAATGGAAGTTTTCTGGTGATAAAATCCATCAGTTTCTGTATGTGTGGGAATGTCTTTATTTCTCCTTCATATTTATTTAAAGTATAATTTTGATGGATATATTATTCGTGACTGATAATTTATCTCTTTCAGACATTTGAATATTTGGTTCTACTCTCTTCTGGCCTGTAGAATTTCTGCTGAGAAATCAGATGAACTTCTGATGTGTTTTCCTTTGTCGATCCCTTCCTTCCTTTCCCTGGCTGCTTTGAGATTTTTTTTTTTTTTTTGTCATTCATTTTTGACAGCTTTAATACCCAGTGCCTTGGAGAGGGCCTCTTTGGATTGAGGTAACTAGGTGTTCTGTTTGCTTCTTGGATTTGTGGATTTAGTTCTTTCCATAAGTTTGGAAATTTCTCATCAACTATTTGTTTTAATAGACTCTCCATTCCATGCCCCCTCTCCTTCTCTTCCGGAATGCCTATAATTTTAATATTGCTTTTTCTGATGGAGTCAGATAGTTGTCATAAACCTCTTTCAGTTTTCTTTATGCTCAGGTCTCTCTCTTCTTCCCTCTGCATCATTTCTAGATTCCTATATTTGACACCACTAATTCTTTCCTTCATCTGGTTGGCTCTGTTTTCTATGCTTAGTAGTTCATTCTTAATCTTCTTAATTGCATGCTTCATTTCTAGGGTTTCTGTTTGGTTCTTTTTTAAAGTTTCAATCTTTTTAGTATAGTACTTACTTTGTTCATTGATTTGTTTTCTGAGTGCATTGAATTTCCTGTCAGTAGTTTCTCGTATCTCATCTAGTATTTTCAGAACAGCAATCTTGAAATCTCTGTCATTTATATCACATATTTCTATCTGTTCCAGCTTACTTTCTGGATATTTTTCATTTTCTTTCTGATCATCTTGTTACTGTGGTTATTCATGGCATTTGCTGTCCTCCTTTGCCTACACATTTATCTCTAAAGAGTTCTTTCTACTTTTTCTAGTAGATGGTGCTGAGTTGCCAGATTTTTTACCTCTGTGATCTCCCAGTCATGAACTTCTGCAGATTCCCTAAGATAGTACAGATAGTACTGCTTGGGGGTTGGTTTTAGTTTGCTCTCACCATAATGGTGACCCCTGACCTCCATGAGTCCTGGCCCAAGCACTCCAACTGGGGGTCAACCACAGTGGAATACAGCAGTTCTATTGCAATAGCTCTTGGTTTACAGATAATATACTCCTAATCCAACTCCAAAGGCAAAGGCTGAGTTTGGGGATTCCATGCGGCGGCAGGGCTCTGTGGTTCCATTTCTTTGTCTGAAACATGACCGCCAGCCTAGTGGTGGAGAGTCACACAGCAGAACCCTGTGCTCTGTCAGAAGCCTGCTGATTCAGACACTTTTCGCTTCCTCGCTGCTTAGTCTCTCAGGGATCTGCTGGTTCAGACACTGTTCGCTTCCTTGCTGCTCACCCTGGTAGGCTACCCATGTCCCCTACCTCTGTTCCTGCTACTGCCAGCTTCCTCCACTATCCCAGCTGGCCAAGCTACAAGCTCCCGGCTGCAGGGCTGCACCTGGAGGCCATCTGCACTTTTCTCCCTTCTCGTCTTCCCCTTTACCCACCTTTATATGTTTCAATGTGCAGGTACCTCAGGCATGCATCTGTGTTGAGCAGGGATGTCTTTGTTGAATTATAGTTGGTTAAGTTGTTGAAATTTCAAGGGGAGAAGACAAAGGGCTCTTTCATGCCGCCATTCCTCTGACATCACCTTTTGAGTGACATCTTAAAGGCATTATTTTCAAAGCTGGCATTAAATCTTAAGCTTTATTAGATCTCATTAAGTGTACATACATTTTGTTAGATATATTAATGTTTGTGAAATTATTATGACTACTGAGGGATCATTGAATCTCAAGTATTTTTAAACAAATGAGTTATTTGAAGCATCCTTTTTACTACAATTATAGAATTAAGACTTGGCAATATAGTATCTAAAACATGGGCTTATATCAGTTGTGTAGTATTAGGCTAAAAGTAATGAAGTAACATGCCATAATTTAATCAGTGGAGTTGGATTTGTTTCAAAAAACCAAATGCCAGTTTTGTTTGTTCTGCCCAGTGCTTGACTAATATAATGAATAGTTTATAAAAATTCACCTAACTAATGATTGATTAACAAATTCTTTACTGGCCTCTTGGATACTCAGACTAATGGTTTAGATTGATTTTGAAATTCCCTTTTTCTTTGAAGTAAAGCTAATTTTTAAAATTTTATTTTCCTTCCTTATTATAGATGTAACATTTAAATTTTTAATATTTATTTAGTTATACTCACTTAACAGTATCTCAGTATAGAAAATAGCAAAATCTGTTGCATTTAACCATATGGTTAAATTTAAAACATGCTAGTTAAGCCCACCTGGTGTGTTTCAGGGATTGAGTGTTGACCTATGAACCAGGAGGTCACGGTTCGATTCACAGTCAGTGCATGTGCCCGAGTTACGAGCTAGATTCCCAGTGTGGGGCATGCAGGAGGCAGCCAATCAATGATTCTCTCTCATCATTGATGTTTTTATCTCTCCTTCTCCCTTCTTCTCTGAAATCAATAAAAATATATTTTTTAAAAAGCCTACTAGTTATTACTATTGAAATTGTTTTTGGTTCTCTGATATTGATTATGAGAGACGTTGAAAGATGAAATCAATCCTTCACATGAATGCTGGCAATAACCATCATCCTTACTTTTTGAGAAAGACATGACTTAGATAAATCTAGACTGTTGGGATTACAGAGGGATCTTATAATTTTTCTCTTTTGGTGGAAATGCATAATCAGTATTTTTATTTTTTCATTGATGAGGAAGTCCAGTGATCTAGTTTCTTCTTAATAATTACCTGGCCTTATGGGGCTTCAATTCCTTATACAAAACCCTTGGGGCCTGTTATCTTCTGTTATTCAGATTTAAAAATATGTACTTTAGATTAAACAGAAACAAAACAAAACCTAATAGACACAAATAACAGTATGGTGATTACCAGAGGGAAAGGGGGCCGGAGGGAGATAGAAGAGGGTAAAGGAAGAATAAATGGTGATAGAAGGAGACTTGACTTTGGGTGGTGAACACGCAATACAATATACAGATGATGTATTACAGAATTTTACACTTCAAACCTATATGTTTTCATTAACTAACTAGAGGCCTGATGCACAAAATTCGTGCAAGAGTTGGCCTTCCTTCCCCTGGCTGCTGGCACTGGCTTCCCTCTGGCATCCGGGACCTGGGCTTCCCTCTGGCACTCAGGGCCCGGGCTTCCCTCCCATCACTGGCAGGCACCAGGGACCTGGGCTTCCCTCCGGCCACTGGCAGGCACCCAGGACCCGGGCTTCCCTTGCAGCCCCGGCTTCATCCAGTCTAATTAGCATATTACACTTTTATTATTATAGATGTCACCTCAATAAATTCAATAAAAATATGTATTTTAGAAAGTAATACTGTATAGATGCTGATATGCTATATATGATGTAACATTCTTAGCAGGGTCTGAAGAGGCAGTCTTTAGTTGAACATATTAATATTTCTGCCGTCAGATGTATGAATATTCACATTAAATGAGAGAAAGGTAGAAAGAAGAGCCTTATATCCATTTGTGTCAGGTTTTGTTGCTAAACCAGTTATGAAAAAACTTAGGATTCCAGAGTTTTTGAATTTTGAATTTCAGCTAATCAATTGTGAGCCTGTAATATGTTACATATTAAAACATTAATATGTATAATGTTTTTACAAGTAATTTAAAATATAATAAAATATCTTTATTTGATGGTTATCAATTTTTCCACTTTTACCTTTCATTTCATCCTCTAAAATATTTCTTTGTACAGCTGCTGTATTCTCGAGGATTGCTTATTGATCTTCTAATCAAATCTAATGTCAGTCACTATGCAGAGTTCAAAAATATTACCAGGATTCTTGCATTTCGAGAAGGAAGAGTGGAACAGGTACTGTGCTGATCAAGTATTGTAACTGGATATGAGCTTAATTTATTATGGTTTGCTTTGGAAGGATGAACAAAGTAAGATTATTTTCCTAGTAAAGCAGAAAATCTCAGTCCTGGATGATGATTTACAAATGTAAATATTAACAAATTGCTCAATTAAAATGTGTTAATTTTTTCAAGAGATCTTCTGTAACCTGATCTTGGTGTTGAGAAAGTGTTAATTTTGGGCAACATTGCTAGATTTGAGATGTCTTTTGTTCCCAGTTAGGAGTGACATGCCATTGCCCCCCCCCTCCTACCCCCCATCCCCCTGCAGTGGTTGAAATATTTTATTGCACCTTTGATGACTGGTTGTGGGGAGCAGTCCCTCCACCTAGGATAGCACCCTACAGAGGAGACCATCTCAGTCCTTGTAGCCCAGGAGCCAGACTGGACTGAGCCCCCAGGGCATCCTATGGAAAATGGCACAGCATAATTACCAATAAAATAATCATAATAAAAATAAAAAGTCTCACCCTACCCGGTTTGGCTCAGTAGATAGAGTGTCAGCCTGTGGACTGAAGGGTCCTGGGTTTGATTCCAGTCAAGGGCACATGCCTGGGTTGTGGGCTCGATCCCCAGTGGGGGGGTGTACAGGAGGCAACCGATCCATGATTCTCTCTCATCATTGATATTTCTATCTCTCTCTCCCTCTCCCTTCCTCTCTGAAATCAATGAAAATATATATTTTTAAAAAGTCTCTGTTTTGACTACTCTTCAGGTTTCCCACTGGAAGTGTGCAAAGCTATTGAAGTACATATTCAGAGTTTTGTCTTAGCCTTAAATAGTGCCTGTCCACTTTCCTCTGATAGATTTCTCAATTCAGCACATGCAAAGGGGCTGGCTTGTTCTTTTGATTTCCTTCACAAGGTCTTCTCTTCAGATATCCATTTTGATCCCTGCATCCCACAGCTCTGAGACAAGCTTCAGTCTCTCCTCTAGTAGCTCTTCTGTATAGATGCCACAAGCACCTGTGTCTCTTTGGTCCATACCTTCTTCTCCAAGGCCTGTAGCCTCTGCTTCACGGTAGAGAAGATCCACTCCACTCCAATGCTGAGCCCCACACATGGCAACATGTGCCCTTTGGGGTCAGACATGACCACTAGACCATCATAGCGCCCTCCAGCAGCCACACTGCACATACCGAGGGGCTCTTCCCCTGCCTGGGCTGGGGTCTGTAGCAGCACTGCCTCATGGATCACCCCAGCCCCCGAGCAAGGCTCAGGTCGAAGGAGGTCTTGTCAGCAGTGCCAAGCAGGGTCAAGTACTCAAACAGCAGCTTCAGGTCCCCCAGGCCTTCCAAAGCCTGTTTGTTTTTGGACAGTTTAGGATCCTGGAGCAGCTGTTCCACCAGAGATACCCCACCATGCTGCTGGATGAAGTCCCCAATGCGGTCAGCCACCTCAGGTGTGAGGCCCTTCTCTCCCACCATCTCATTCTTTACTTCCTCCCAGGACACCTTGTCTAGCCTGTCCACTGATGAGCAGATGGTGTGAAATTTGCTCTTAGGAACCCCACAGGTTGTAAGCATCCCAGCTAGGATGTGCTGATCATTCACCTTGACCAGAAAGTCACCTATCTGAAGTGAATTCAGGATCTCACTCATGATCTTTAGGCACTCTGTATCAGGAATCATGGAGTCAAATTGCTCAGCAATGTCAAAATCCTTCAAGGAGAGAGGTAGTTAGAGGTCCTTGGGAGTTTCTTAAGTGGGGATTCCTGGGAGCTCTTCTCTCTCTGAAGGCCAGTTTGCACTTATGCATAGACCATTTTCTTCTTTCTCTGATCATCAGCCCAGAGGAAAACCCCAGCATTCTTGGGTCTGTTACTATTTCTGGTTTCCTTTCCATCTATTGGGCTATTCCAGTGGTTGGCAAACTGTGGCTCTCGAGCCGCATGCGGCTCTTTGGCCCCTTGAGTGTGGCCACGAAGTTTCAATCACACTGTACGTGCACGCCCGCACGTGGTATTTTGTGGAAGAGCCACACTCAAGGGGCCGCAGTTTGCCTACCACTGGGCTATTCCTTCATCATTGCACTCATCTACTTTTCCTATTTCCTCCTACCACTGTGGGGGAAAAGGGGGGAAGAGAGGCAACTGTACAACCACCATTGGCCTTATAATGACATAAGGAGTAACTTGATAAATTAAGTGTGAGAGCTCACAAGTTAATTAGCTCTGGAGTCCCCAGAGATGTTATTAGAACTGATGGAAGGTAATGTGACACAGTCTGGCTAGAATGGAAATAATCTTGTTATACTTAAATGAAAAAAAAAAGTTTTTTGGAATACTTGTTTATCACTAAGAAGCAGTTTCTTAACTTAAAAAATCATGTGTTTCAGGTTCCTTGTTCGAGAGCAGATGTCTTTAATAGTAAACAACTTACTATGGTAGAAAAGCGAATGCTAATGAAGTTTCTTACATTTTGTATGGAGTATGAGAAACATCCTGATGAATATAAAGGTATTGTGTTCATTTAATTGTGTTCTATAATTATTTAAGCTTTCTTATTATTTTAATATGTTTGCTCTAATGTAGTGAGCCAATTATTACTCTTTTAAAAAATACATTCTTACTGTGCACTATCCATTAGGTTAGCCACTAGCAACATGTAGCTATTAAAATTAATAAAATGTAAAATTCAATTCTTCAGTCACACTAGCCATATTTCAAGTATCCAATCGCCAAATGTAGTTAGTAGCTATTGTGGCTACAGTGCAGGTATAGAATATTTTTATCGTTGAAGAAACGCTGTGCTGTGTGTTAATTTTTATTCTTGTTAATTAAATATTGTTGACAACTGGTTCTTCATAGATGATACAGTAGTCCCCCCTTATTCACAGGGCATATGTTCCAAGACCCCAAGTGGATGCCTGAAACTGCAGATATTACCAAACACTATGTACACTAGGTTTTTCCTATACATACATACACTTTGTGGCTTCTCTTTGATTATGAATTGCCAGTGTCACTGCTCTTATTAAGTACTAGAGGCCTGGTGCATGAAATTCGTGCACTCAGAGGGGGGGTCCCTCAGCCTGGCCTGTGCCCTCTCGCAGTCTGGGAGCCCTCAGGGCCTTAGGCCCCTAGGCCTAAGCTGGCAGTCAGACATCCTTAGCGCTGCCGCGGCGGCAGCGCTGCCGCGGAGGCAAGAGAGGCTCCTGCCACCGCCCCTGCACTCACCAGCCGTGAGCCCGGCTCAGGGTTTCTGGCTGAGGGGTGGTCCCTCTGTGGGAGTGCACTGAACACCAGGGGGCAGCTCCTGTGCTGAGCGTCTGCTCCCTGGTGGTCAGTGTGCATCATAGTGACCGGTCTTTCTGCCGTTCGGTTGATTTGCATATTAACCTTTTATTATATAGGATAATAAGAGTTACTTGAACACAGGCACTGTGATACTGAGATATTTGATCTGATAACTGAGATGGCTACTGAATAAATAACTCACAGTGTATGTAGTGTGGATATGCTGAACAAAGGGGCTGATTCCTGTCCAGAGTGGAATGGGGTGGGGCGGATCAGGATAGCATAAGCTTTCATCATGCTACTGAAAGCTGTGCAATTTCAAATTTATGAATTGTTTATTTCTAGAATTTTACATTTAATATTTTCGGGACTATGGTTGATTGTGGGTAACTGAAAACATGGAAAACGTATCCATGGATAAGGAAGAGAATACTGTATTCTTTTGCATTGTTCCATTCATGTTTTTCATCAGTAATAGAAAAACTATAGTTTTTCATTTTTACAGGATTACTGTGCTTAGAATATTGAATTATTTATTTTCATTCATTTTTTTTAAAAGCCTAGATGACATGGTGGAAATCACTGGATTAGGAGAATATGTGGTTTCTGGTCTTGGCTTTGACCCATCTCACTGTGTGATCTTGGGCCAGTTACTTTACAGATTGTTGAAAATTGAATGTATCACTTTAGTGACCGAGCTTTATACTTGAAGGGCATTGGAATAGAAAATTTTCCAAAGTAAACATACTATTGACAATTCATCTATAAAGTTATAATGAGAACTACAGCAGTATTTTTTAATAAATATGCAGATGATGTTTTGTTGAGTTGAACACTTGAAACCTGTATGGTTTTGTGAACCAATGTCACCTCAGTAAATTCAATTTTTTTTAAAGTATAGCTTTTGCTCTTACAGCTTCAAGTCCATTGGATACTGCCAAATTGTTCTCATAGTGGTGTAAACATACTCTCTCAGTAAATGTTTATAATTTTTGTTTACATAAATAATTTCTAATAAAGTTTTTTTGTGTTTGGAATTGTATTTTCCAGGACTAACAGTCCAATTACATTTTTCCTGTTCTTGGTTTAACAGGGTTGGGGAACCTTTTTTCTGCCAACGGTCATTTGGATATTTATAACATCATTCAAGGGCCATACAAAATTATCAACTTAAAAATTAGCCTGCTATATTTGGTCAAACATTTAATTAACTCACCCCTAATGCCTTGGCAGGGCCAGACCAAATGATTTCACCATCCTTATACAGCCTGTGGGCTGAACATTCTCTACCCCTGGTTTAAAGAAAGTTTTCAGTGGTTTCTTATCTTTTGTGGTGTGATTATAAGGCAGTATGATCGATTCCACTAGCCATAAGGAAATTAAATTTCATTACTTTTTATTAAGTTCATTGTTCCTAGATTTAATAACAATATGTATATTTCAAAAAAAAATCAAGTATTGCTCATTATTTTCATCAAAAACTTGCCCTTTGTTATATTTAATATTTCAAAATACAATTATTGGTATTATTCTGCAGTTTTATCTTCTAATTGAATTTATCGGGGGTAACATTGGTTCACAAAATCATACAGGTTTCAGATGTATATAGCTCAACAACATATCTACAAACTGCATCATGCGTCCATCGCTCCAAGCAACATCTCTTCTGTTCCCATTCCTGCCCCCCTTTTCCCACCTCCATCTATCCTCTACCCCACATTCCCTCTTGCTATCTTCACACTGTTGTCTGTGTCTATGTGTTTTTTTTTATAAATGTGTGTGTTTTTCTGCTGTTTTAATGATAAAGTAAGGCTACTACCAACCTCAGAAAGCAATTGTGATGGTTAGTGAGTTATTTAATGCTTTTCTACTTTTTGAATCTGTAAAATACTAAACGAAGGTTCATCATTTAAAGTTTAAAAATTGTGCCATCAATCCAGTTGAGATTTCTAGTGGTCCCCCCCCCACCCCCCAAAAAAATCACTGGTCTTTGTCCAAAATGTAATATTATTGCCACCCATGTCCTTTGACAAGTGTTTTAGAGAGACTTGATCTCATTTTTTGTGTAATAGTCTTAAATTGAAGTTTAGTTCTGATTTTAACTGATAAATTTTCATCTTTGTTTTCATAGCCTATGAGGAGATTACATTTTCTGAATATTTAAAAACTCAAAAATTAACTCCCAACCTCCAACATTTTGTTCTGCATTCAATTGCAATGACATCAAAGACAACCAGCAGTACCATAGATGGTCTCAAAGCTACCAGAAAGTTTCTTCACTGTCTTGGGCGGTATGGCAACACTCCTTTTTTATTTCCTTTATATGGCCAAGGGGAACTCCCTCAGTGTTTCTGCAGGTAAGACTGCCATTGGTTCTTTTGTTTGTTGTTAAGGTGATACTTGAATAAAGGATGAAAATTAGAAAGACAAAAATGAGATTTACTCAAGATTTAGTATTTTCAAACTTATACTTTTTTGTTCTACTCTCTTATAAACATTCATCCTGCATACCTACTTAATACCTAAATGATATATTCAGTTTGGTCTGTTTTTGAGCTTTAAAGATAGAATCATACAGTACATTTCTTTTTCCACTCAGTATTATGTTTCAAAGTATCATTCTTGTGTATAATTATAGTAAATTTATTTTCATTGCTATGCATTGTGAATTATATATTGTAAATATAGCACAATTTATTTTTCCATTTTTGTATTGAAGGACACCAGATGTTTCAAGTTTTTTGCTTTTATTAACATCCTTGTATGTGTTTCAGGATATACATAGTGAAGAGTTTCTCTAGGATACATGCCTAGGAGTGGAATTCCTGAGGCATGGGATAGATATATGAATGTTCATTCACGATAATGCCCAGTTATTTCTCCAGAGAGTTGTATCAGTTTACATTCCCCTAACAGTATGTCAGAATTCCCACAGCTCTGCATCTTTGCCAATATTTGGTATTATCAAACTTTCTAATTTTTGTCAATTTACCTCACATAAAATACCATCACATTGTATGTTTTTAAATTTTATTTTTCAATTACAGTTTACATTCAATATTATTTTATATCAATTTTAGGTATATAGCATAGTGTTTAGGCAATCATATACTTTACAAAGTGATATATTGGTAATTATATCACATTGTGTTTTTATTTTGCATTATCCAGATTACTTATGAATGTCTTCTCATATGGTCATTGGTTATTTGTATTCTCTTCTGGGAAATGCTTTTTAGTGTCTTTTGCCCATTTGTCTTTTGGGTTGTCTTTTTCTTACTGATTTGTTGAAGTTTAATATATTTTGAACACTAATCTTTTCTCAGTTATATGTGTCATGTATATCTTGCCTTATAGTATTTATGATGCATAGATATCAGTAAGATTAATGTAGTCAGCCCTAGCCAGTTTGACTCAGTGGATAGAGCATTGGCCTGTGGACTGGAGGGTCCCAGATTTGATTCTGGTCGGGGGTACATGCCCAGGTTATGGGCTCTATCCCCAGTAGAGGGTGTGCAGGAGGCAGCCAATCAGTGATTCTCTCTCATCATTGATGTTTTTATTTCTCTCTCCCTCTCCCTTCCTCTCTGAAATCAATAAAAAATATATATATATTTTAAAGATTAATGTAGTCAGGTATTGCAATCTTTTCTTTTGTGTGTAGCATTTTTGTGGTAGTAGAGCACAGTAGTTAAGAATCTGGACTGTGGAAACAGACTGCATAGATATAAATCCTGGCTCCTCCATTTACTAGCCATGCACTCTTGGGCAAGTTTCACAGTTTCTATTATGTTTTCAAAGAATTAACTTTTGTTTGTTTGTTTTTATTCTCTCTGTTATCATTTGTATCCCTGTTCATTAACTTCTGCTCTTTATTAAATCCTTTATTTTCCTTTCATTGGGTTTTGTTCAGCTCATCCCTCCTATCTCCTGCCCTTGTCAGTTCTGAGGCTGATACCCAATGAGTTCCAGTCATCTTTTTTTTTTTACTTTATAATGTAAGCATTTATGATGATAAAGTTCTCACTACTGTTTTGAATCTTACACAGTTATTATGTACTAGAGGCCCGGTGCACGAAATTTGTGCATTCGGGGGGTGGGGCTGCCCCTCAGCCCAGCCTATACCCTCTCGCAGTCCGGGAGCCCTCGGGGAATGTCCAACTGACAGCTTAGGCCCGTAAGCCAGCAGTCAGATATCCTAGCGCTGTGGCAGAGGCAGGAGAGGTTCCTGCCACCGCCGCTGCGCTTGCCAGCCGTGAGCCTGGCTTCTGGCTGCGCGCTCCCCCTCTGTGGGGGGCAGCTCCTGCATTGAGCATCTGTCCCCTGGTGGTCAGTGCACGTCATAGCGACTGGTCGACAGTTCGACTGTCTGCCCCCTGGTGGTCAGTGCATGTTATAGCGAGCGGTTGAGTGGCCTTAGCATATCATTAGCATATTACGCTTTGATTGGTTGACCAGATGACCGGACACTTAACATATTAGGCTTTTATTATATAGGATTATTTTTATTATCTTTTACTGGTAGTCCTATGTATCTTAATTCCTATTACTATTTTTTCATTGACCCATGAGTTGTTATGAAGTGTTTTAAAAGAGCTAATTTGTTTGATTCTTCTGTTTTTACCGAATTTAATTGTATTGTGTCTAGAAATTGTTTTTATAGTACTAATTCTTTGAACTTTATTTTATGACTTATTATGTCCTGAATTTTTGTAGTTTTTCGTGTGTTCTCGAAAGGAATGTGTTTATCTAGTTGTTGGTACATGGTTCCAAATTTCAAACTTAGTTTTATTGAGGACTGTTTTCTTTGACCTATCAATACAAGAATAAGGTGTTTTGTAATCCCCATTATGATGTTTGATTTGTCAATTTATCTCTATAATTTTATCCGTTTTTACCTAATATTTATTTTGAGGCAATTTATTAGTCATACAAATTTATAATTGTTTAATCTTCCCAATTAATTTAATATTTTACATTATCTGATGACTTTCTTCATCCCTAATAATACATTTTTCTTAAAGTCTACTTTGATATTCAAATAGCTACTTCAACTTTTGAGTATTTGTCTGTTATATCTTTCTCTATCCCTTTATTTTTTAAAACTTTTCTGAGTCTGTATTTAGAGCTTTAAGTAACATATTACATATTTTTAATTTCATCTGACGATCTTGTTTTGCTACCAGTCAGGATGAGTCCTATTAACAGAAATCTGTTCCTTCCTTCTGAAGTATGGCATTTTAAAAGTTCCTCTACTTTATATCTGTTGGTGGTAAATGCTTCCTGGTTTTTGCATATATGAAAAAAACTTCTGCCTCTTTGTTTTGAGTGAAGATTTGCTACGTAAACATTTCTAGGTTGGCAATTCATTTTTTAATTTAATTTATTGGGGTGAAATTGGTCAACATGGACATGTAGGTTTCAGGTGTGGGTTTCTATTTTACAAGGTCTTTATATTGCACCATGTGCCCACTACCCAAAGTCAAATCTTCTCCTGTCACCATATATTAGGACCCCCTTCTCCCCCAACCCCCTTCCTTCTGGCAACCACCACGCTGCTGTTTGTGTTCATGAGTTTCAGTTTTATATTCCACATATGAGTGAAATCATATGGTTCTTAGCTTTTTCTGACTGACTTAGTTCACTTAGTACAATGTTCTCAAGGTGCATTCACGTTGTTGTAAATGGCGTTATTTCATCCTTTCTTATGGCTGAGTAGTATTCCGTTGTGTATATGTACCACATCTTTTTTTATCCAGGCCTCTATCGCAGGACACTTTGGTTGTTTCCATTCATTTTTTGTAATTAAATATATTGCGGTGCCATTGGTTATTAGCATTATATAGGTTTCAGGTATACATTTCTATAATACAGCATATGTATATTGCATTGTGTGCTCACCACTTTAAATATTTCAGTACTTTAAAAAATTATTCCACTGATATTTGGGTTCCATTTTTGCTTTTGAAAAACTTGATGTCAGCTTAATTATCATTTCTTTATAAGTGAAATCTCTTCTCTCTCAGGTTGTTTTTAAGATAGTTTGTCTTTGGCGTTCTGCATTTTAATTCCAGTGAATTTAGGATTCCTTTATATAGGTTGTCCCCCAAAATATATACACACCTTGAATGATTATAACGTCAGTGTTTATTAACATATAATTCATTTTCAAGATTTAAAAGCATCTACAGAAATGTGTAATTTTTTTGTCAATGCCTGTTTTCAAACTGATAACCTATCTGGTCTAAGCACTGCTGATAACGCGAAACAGTGGAATTGCAAACATCAAGAATCATTTCTATCGGTATTTGTGTGCCCTCAGTTCATTGACTGTTGCCAGTTTTGTAACTTATCTTTTATATATCCCCATAGGAAAAATTCTAGTGGCACCTTAGGATAACTTTTCTTAGTTCAAAGTTTAGTCTGGCTTCGCCCATTATTTCAAATCAGTTAATTCTGAAAAGGAGTGAAAACTAAGTGAATTATCAGCTGTTATAAGTGTGTATACATTTTTTGGGACACTCTATGTTTATCTAGCTTGATATAGGTTGAACCATATGAAATTAACAATATTAAACCATTTGACCTACAATTTCACATGGTTTAAACAACTATATTGCATTTCCTCTATCTGTAAATTGTCATTTATCATTTTGGAAAATTATCAAGCAGTATTTTTGCAATTATTGTTTTCCTCCATTGTCTTTCTTCTCATCATTTAGTAACCCCAACCAGATATGTTTTAGAACCTATCATTCCCTCTTTCATATTTCTCCCCCCCCTTTTTTTATTCTAAGCAAATAAAAAAAAGGAAAATCGCTTTTCTATTTCTTAATCTCTTTTTTCATATTTTCTCTCTCCTTGTCATTCTCGCTGCATTCTGAATACTTTATTAATATCTGTTTTCCAGCTTATTAATTCTCTTCACCCATGACTAATCTGTAGTTTAACTCTTTTGACTTTTGACTTTAATATTTTTATCTTTCATCTCCTCCCCAAATCTTCTCTGTCATTGTTTGATATTCTCTTCTGTTTGTTCATCCCCCCCTCCCCCCCAGATCTTGGCTTTTATTTTTTTTCGTTATTGATTAAGGTATTACAAATGTGTCC